GTTTTTGTTTTGTTGTTCTATGCTGGGATTACAGGCATGCTACCATACCCAGCTTTTATGTGGGCACTGGGGAGCCAATTTAAGTCCTCATGACAAGCATTTTACCAGCTGAGTCATTTCCACAGTCTGGTAACTATTATTTTTAAGGTTGCAAATTCAATTATGTGTATTTCCAGTGCCCAGTATGGACCCTTCCCAGGTGTGCAGAAAAATCCATAAATAAACGACTAAAAGGATCATTGAAGGATATTGCACTCCTGGGCAGTGAGTGTACATATTCCTGATTATACCTTTTTAAGCTTTCTAAAAGTTGTGAAACTTCTCTGCAACTCAATTATCAGTGGTAGGATAAGAAGAAAAAGTACCATCTTTGTATGGTTATCGTGGGGATTTCCTGAAATGAAAATGTCTATCCAGTACCTACTCATGTAGTAGGCACAAAATGGTCTTATTGTTGACACAAATCACAACCGGTGGGATACCAATTTCAACTGCACTTACTAAAGATACACTGTTAAACAAAAATCACTAGGAAACCAGAGAAACCACCAGAAGTAGGTAAACACTGTGCATAGTACGCAGTGCTATGAGAGAGGAATTAGAGAGACAGTAGCTTCACTTACCGTGGAGTCTTCCCAAGAAGGTACAGCGGGGAAGGGAGGAAGAGAGGCAGAAAGAGGGAGAGAGGTCGAGGACGAGAACAAACACGTAGGATGGTGGTTTCATGGTTTGTAAAGTGGATCTGATTCTAAGACTTCATGATCCAATCAGGCCACTTTACTCTCACTTAGTCATCTAAGAATCTCTTGAGAGTATCTACTTGGAGCCAGGCATGGAGATAGATAACAATGAACAAGAAACCAAATTCCAAAAGAAGAAAAGAAAGAAACCAAATTCCTCGCTCATGGGGCCTGCCTGCATTCTGTTAGTTTAGCAAAGGCAAAAAGTAAGTCAATAGCGCTGTCTTATGGATGTGATCAGATGTGAGCTATGTCCTGGGTACTTGCTTTTTCTTCAAGATCTGTAGTTGCTAGTCAACTCTTATTAAAGCAAGCTATGCTGTCCACCTCTGGTGGAGCATTTTACCTTCTTTATGAATTATCTTGTAATTATGAATATGTGCACACAGAGAGAAAGAGGGTAGCCAAACTTCCTCTCACAGACTTTCTGACAGGTTTTTCTCTATTTAACAAATGTTTCTATTTTAAAAAGAAAAGAAGAAGAAGAAGAAAAAAAAAAAAAAACAATGGAAACCTTTTGGTTTTTTTTTTTTTTTTTTTTTCCTAAGCTTCTAGTGTAAATGCTACTCTCTGCCTGAAGAAAGGGTCCCCATCTGCTTAGCCTCTACCAAGCACGCTGAAATGACACTCTATCTTCAAAAGAATTCAGGAGAACAAGGCCATGGTTCACAAGGCAGAGGTGAAGCACTGTAGGATCCCACTATCTGGCGACCTTGATTTGTTCCTGGCTGAGAATGTAGAAGCCACCTTCTCACTTTTGCATTGTGGCGGCTTCCTCATTCTCCTCTCGCACGGTCTGTGACCCTGTCCCATCTCTCCCTCCCTTCCCTCTCTTGTGGAAGACGCACCTCATCTCTGTGAGAAACCCTTTTCAGGGAATTCGCTCTTGTGCTGCCTTTGTTCCTGGAGCTTCACTTTTGGGTTCCCGGTCAGTCATCCTCGTCTTACACACAGATGTGTTCTGGACTCCTTTACAGCAAACAGCAGCAACTGTGCTTCTTCATTCCGTAGCCCCTCACCTCTAGCTCAGCTTCCGACTCTGAGATCTTGCCTCCGTGTCTTCTCCACCAGTTATATCTAGAGGTGTATTAAATACTGCCAGACACACTTCCCGCTGTTGTTGTTTGTTTTGGGTTTGTTTGTTGTTTTTTGCTTTTGTTTTTTGAGGCAGTGTCACTATGTAGCCCTAGATAGCCTGGAATTTACCAGGCTGGCCTCAAACTCACAGAGGTCTTTCTTTCTACAGATTTTTAAAATTTTGGTAAACATCTATCTGTTTTCCAGGTCATTCTCAATTCCTGGGTTTACACTGGGTTCTAAGCCCCTTCCATACCATTCTCCACTTAGCATGTCAAGCATCCCTTGCCTTGCTTTTAGAAGTAGAATGGACAGGTAATCCTTGCCTTGTTTCTGATCTTCTGAAGAAAATATTCAGGCCTTCTTATTAAGCATGATTATTTTCAGTTTTTTGAAATAGGGTTTCTTAGGTAGCCCTGGCTGTCCTGGAACTTGCTCTGTAGACCAGGCTGGCCTTGAACTCACAGAGATCCACTTGCTTCTGCCTCCAGAGTGTTGGGATTAAAGGCTTGAGCCAGCACTGTCTGACTGAATATGGTTATTAACCATGGGTTTTTATAGATTTGCTCTGTCAAGTTGAGGAGTTTCCCTTCAAGTTTATGGTTCACTGTATAAAACAAAACTGTCTTTTTTAGAACTCACCGCATGGGGGCAGCTGGGGTGGGGTGGTGGTGGTGGTGGTGCTGGTGGTGGTGGTAGGGAGGGAGGCTTGGAGCTGTCACATGTGGCACCAGGTGTGGACCCAGCATTAAGGTGCCTGGTGGCTGCCATGAGCCTCGAGACCATGAGGATCCACAGCAAAGCACCTCTCCCCGGTGACATCCAAGACAAAAATGAAAAGAACACTTCCTCTTTGAAATCCCTGAAAACTGATACTAGGCTGGAAAAAAGCCTCTTTGTGGAAAAATATTTTACCTTGACTGGACTTCCATCACCACATGGGAAAAACTACACAAGGGAGACTCAAAAAGCCTTTTTTTAAAGGTTGGAGATGTGAACCGGTCTTATAGGCCATTCTGCCTTCAGCTGACCAGTATGATTTCTATAAACCACTCTGCCCACAAGCCTTGCAGTCCATTTGACACAGAGAAGCCATCCAGCGTCCAAGAGCGAACTCAGCCTAAACCCAGAATTAATACAGATGGCGGGTGATAAACGTGGTGGGGCCCCAGTTCAATTCTAGATGAAGGAAGGGGGGGGGTATTGTGAATATTGTTTACAGAAATACGAAGATCTCAAAACTCACCTTCTCAGTGAGAAACACGAAAACTTTGCACAGAGTAATCAGTACCAAGTTGTTGATGACGTTGTATCTTGATGTATGTTGATGATATTGTAGTTAGTCTTTGATTTCGTGGAATATGAAAGAGACACACCTAAAAAGGGAAAGGTACTTAGCCTCCCTCTGACATGGTTTTGAAAGGGAGTTCACAATTTTTTTTTTTTTCTGCAAATGTCCTGAAAAACATTGAACCAGAGGAGAAGCTACAGTTGGAGCCCATTTCCCGGAAGGACACGGGAGAAAGTGATGGTCACCTGCTTGAGCAGAATTTTCAGTGTGAAGAAACCCAGAAACCTGAACAAAGGCTTGCGTTTGCTTAGGAACCCATGGCATGTGCTACTTGTCAACTGCATTGAAAGGATGTGATGAGAAAACAGTGGACATGCTAAATGCCAGCGAACCTGACATAAAACAGAATTTTACACAGCTACCACCATGTAACAATGAACAGGAAGGAATTCTTGATGTTTCGGAGTGTAAATTATTAATAGAAAATATTGAAAACAGAGGGTGGGTGCCTCAGTCATGTGTACAAGTTTCTTAGCACAGAAAACAGCAAAAGATTTACAGGAGAAGGCCCTTCATCTTGTGTTTGGCCATGATTCTGACCTGCTGACATAAAATACATCAAAAGAACTCCGTCTTGTGCTCCTCAGGAACCTGACGAATGTGACACAGATAATATGGATAACTTGCCTTGCGGGAAGATCCTGCGGAAAGTGAGACTATTATTAGGGCAGAAGAAAAAAAACAAAACTGTGGACCCAAGTGCTGAATTGGATAAAAAGAGAACTGAGTTTCTTCCTGTGTGTGTAGAAGACAGAACTTGTGGGTCGCCAGTAGCCTCTGCCTGACCTTTTCCAAACGGGGAGGGGGGGTCAGAATGCTGGGGTTCACGAGCTACACTGAAAACAGTGTAAAATGTGATCGTTTAGATGTTTGGGAGGAAGAAAATTCAAGTAGTCTGCTGTCAACATTTTTCTCTTCCCCTCCAGTGCCTACATTCATTGGATTTTAGTGTGTGCTGTGTTTTTTCAGAAGTGACAGTTTTATTCTTGAGACTTTTATGAACGCATATGTAATTCTTAGGAGCTCTGGGTTTTTATTTGGTTTTGGTTTTGTTTTCCTTGCCTGCTTGGTTGATGGAATCATACGTAAATATTAAGATGATGTTTATAACTTTTTACAGACTTGAGTAGCTGTTACAAATCGTACAATAAGATCTTGTGATTTATTTCATTTTTTAAAAAAAAAATTGTCTTTTTTAATCATAGAAAGAAGGACACTGGGTTTTCCAGTCGTGGCGATGCACACCTTTGATCCCAGCACTCAGGAGGCAGAGGCAGACTGATCTCTGAGTTCGAGGCTGCTGTGGTCTGTAGTTCCAGGACAGCCAGAACTACACAGAGAAACCTTGTCTCAAAAAAACAAAGATATTGGGTTTTCTCAAATGCTTCTCTTGTGTCTATTAAGTATATTGCTGAGTTCACTTCTCTAAGATTGTACTGGATTTTTGTATCCCAAAATGTCTTTTTTTTTTTTTCAACAAATGAAATTATGCAATAGCTCCCCTTTAAAACTCTTCTCTGGGTTCCCACTGTACTCAGGGGATTCTTTATACAGTTCCACCAAAAATTCCCTCCCAAATATTTGTGCTTGTCACTCCTTGATCTTGGTCCCACTACCTGCCCATCTGTCTTACTTCGCCACTCTCTACTGGCTTCTCCTGGGAACCAATTCCAAAATGATAAGGCGTTGCCACCCTGGAAATCCTGCTCTCGTGTAGAGCATGTGTGAATGGATCCAGTATCCTGGTGAAGCATCCCTGGTCACCTCACCCTCCCATGTACCACCTGCTTACGCTGACTGACGCTGACTGTGCTCTGTCCACTGTCCTGCAGGTGATTTATGCCCTGAATACCCGCCAGGATGAGGCAGAGGCCAGTGCTGAGTCACTACGGGAAGCCTACCAGGAAGAGCTCCAGGACGCAGTGGCTGAAACCAGGGCCAGACTCCTGCAGGAGCAGGGCTACACCAGTGAAGATGCAGAGACCCTTCTGGAGCGCATCCACACCCTGGAGAGCGCCTTGGAGCTGCAGAAGAGGCTGACGCAGGAGGCCCTGGCTGAGTCAGCCTCCTGTAAGTTAGAAACCAAAGAAAGGGAGCTGCGGGTGGAGGCTGAGCATGCTGAACGGGTCCTGATACTTTCCAAGGAGATGCTGGAGCTCAAGGCTGATTATGAGAAGAGGTTCCAGCTGCTGACTAGCCATGAGGGACCACAGTGGGGCCAGCTATCCCAAGAGAGCCCTGATGCCACCACAGCAGAGTCTGGCCAGCGACCGGAGATGCACCAAGTCCTGTTGGAAGTGGAGCGCTTGCGAGCTGAAAACCAGCAGCTGAGCCAGGATTATGCCCGCAAAGCAGAGGAGCTTCAGGCCACCTATGAGCGGGAAAACGAGGCCATCCGGCAGGCCATGCAGCAGTCGGTCAGCGAGGCCCTGTGGCAGTGGCAGGAGAAAGAATCAGGCCTTCGAAAGAACTTCCAGGTCCAGGAGTCGGCCCTGCAGGCTCGCGTCAGGAAGCTGGAAGGGGACGTGGAGCACAGAGGGCGCAAGATAAGTGACCTGAAGAAGTATGCCCAGAAGCTGAAAGAAAGGATTCAGGTAAAGTCTATTCTTCCAGGGCAGGCGGTAACAGGCAAAGCAGGACACCCACCCCTAGCCAGGCACTGCGCCAAGCGCTCTGCTCCCGCCGCCGGTACTATTGCTAGTTACCAGTTCTCCCACATTCAGTCAGCAAGTATTTATTACGTACTGAATTTGCACAAGGATGCATGGTGAGCTAGAATGTCCCTAGCCTCAGAGAGCACAAAGCCTCACAGTTTACAGATGAAAAGATAATGGGGGTGGGGGTGGGGAAGGGGGGACCGGGCAGAAGAGAGGGGAGGGGGCAGAAGAGGGGGGAGGGAAGGGGATGGTGTTAATTCCTGGCCCAGGTGGCCACACTGTAAAATTTTCAACTCTGGCTAGTCTAATTCTAGATTATATTTCCAAAATTATTTTAGTTTTGTGTGTTTGTCCTATAAAAACATGATGCTCTTAAAATCCCTTAGGACGTTTTTTGTTCAAAGAGAGAAACCCCATTGACAAGTCAGTATTATAAGCCCCACAGAAGCACAGAAACCCATCTCTCAAAGCTACTGCTAACATTTCTATTACTCCCCAAGTATTTTTTTTTCTGCATATTTTTTAACTTACCACACTGCCATTGCAGAGTGGGTAAGGATTTGCCACAGACCCTTGAGCTGCCATTTCTAGGTATCCTCATGACCCCTGCTGTACCCGCACCCCCAACCTCTCAGACCTAACAGCTTGTTCTGTGCACTTGGCGTCTTATTCAGAAAACTAAGAGCCTCCCTCTGTTTAGGACCTGGATGCCCAGCTGAGGGAGGCTCGGCGGGAGAATTCAGAGCTGAAGAGCACCGCAAGAAAACTCAGCGAGAAGTTGGCTGTTGCCAAAGACAGATTGATGCTACAGGAGTGTCATACGACAGGGAAAACTGGCAAGATGCCCCAAGTCGATGCCTTCAAAATGGAGGATTTGCCACCGGGTTAGTCTGGCACCGGGGGACAGTCTCAAGACTGAGGGAGCAGGAACAAGACCATTAAATCTGACCTGCTTAGTGGATGACTCCAAACTGTGCTGGACACAGAAGAGTCTACCTCATCAGCTCGACATCCGGATGGGCACAGGCCAGGCAGCTAAAAGATTCGATGCAAAGGACGCCTTACCCTCACAGTGCTCTCCGGATGCCTGTTTTCACTTTTTCTTCTCCGTGACTGAGCTGGGCTATGCTATTTTTAGCAGCATTTTGCACAGTTCCATTACTGGGTCTTCCCAATCATTTTGTGAGATGGGTGTTGTCATTCTCCCATGTTACAAATGATGACACGGGGGCAAGCAAGGACTGAAGGTTAGCTAAATGTCTGGTGAGAAAAGCTAGCGTTTAGATCAAAGGGCATCTAAGTGTCTTTAACTAGAATCCCACAAGCAAAAGTTCTTGAATGCTTGAACTATGACAGGATTGATGGCAAAGGCAGGAAACATGGGCTCTGCCCTTGGGATGCTTGAGACATGGTTCCATTGCAGCCCATTCATGCTTTGGGATAGGGATTTGGCCCAGGGAGCAGAGGACCAAGATATCTGGGAAAAGGAGAAAAATCCTTAGGCTGGAAGGGTGAAGAGGAGAGGTTTATTTTGAAAATAGAAGGATATCGGGGGTTTAAAACGTAATGTTTAGAAATAGGGTACAGGGAACAAAGAAAAAGGAAGGAAGGAAGGAAAGAAGGAAGAAGTTATAGTTATACTTATTGCTTCTTCTTAAACTCTCACGAATATATATATACATATAATATATATATTATATATTAGAAAGCAGAATCAACTCATTTAGCTCATAGATCATGAAATAACATTTTTTTTTCATTCAGGAAGGCAGATTGTGGCGATTATTTAAGCTCAGGACACTGTTTTGAATGAAGATGAGAATCACATTACATTGACCACACTTGAGGGCTGCAGGGACTTCTTCTAGCAGGGACTACAAAAAGCAGTGGTCAGCAAGATGGTTGAGTAGCAGACCTAACTTCAGAAGGCCTTGGGCATGAGCATCCCTATTGACGAGGAAACTTATACTTGCAGATAACATGAAGACTGAGAACGAAGCCCCAAGGAAAACAAACTACCTGGAAGCCTGCGATCCTCATCCTCAGCAGGACCAAGGCTTTCCCAAGTTGTGCTACTGCAGTAGAAGAGGCTCAGAAACACAGGTAGCTTCCCACAAAACTGGGGGGGGGGGTGGAAAAGTCACAGAAGGCCCGCCTGAGATAGTGGGGATCAAACCTGGGTCCTCTAGAAAAGCAGCTCATGCTCTTAACCACCGAGCCACCGCTCCAGCCCGGGACCAGTTACTTGCCATTTCCAAGCCATTCAAACTTAGGAGAGCAAGAATATAGTGGGATTTCTCCAAATTTGTATCTACAAGAGAAAATGGGCATTGCTTAGATACTATTTCCACTCGAAACAATCTGATCCGGTGACAGCTATGACATTCTAGAGAGCTGTCTTCCAATGGTATACATAGTGAAATCTCTTCCAAGTATCAAATGCGTGGTCTTGTACAATGTTCCACACCGTCTAATACTTGCTGTGAAATCGTATGTAAATGTAGGGAAGAGTCGAGGACCTCATCTCCAGCAATCTCACAAGGTCTCATTTCCCTTCGTAGGTCAAGAAAGAAGCAAGTGGCGAACTAGAACGCGTGAAGCAGAAATACGAAGAAGGCCTTCGTGAAGTCAGACATCAGACCGAAGAGGAGAAGCAAGAGCTCCGAGAGCAGCTAGGGAAGCGCCTGGAAGAGCTGGTGGAGAAACACACGGTGGAAATGAAGTCGCTGCGCTCGACTGTGGAAGTGGAGAGAAAGAAGCTGAAGGTGAACTGCGTTTGCAGATTGATCCAGGCCTGTCCCTTTCACCTACCTCCTTCCCACTTCCCTTTCCTCTTTCCTTACCTGAACTTTTGTTGTGCACGCTCCTACTGTGTGCGCTCCTACCCTACCAGGTGCGCATCTAGGCTGCTCCTCTGATGACTGCCCACAGAGGGTAGAAGGCCACTAGGGGGCGATAATGGGGAGCACCTGATGGAGCGCTCTAGCTTCTGGGGTCGCTGACACAGCGAAGGATTGTGTCCTGTGACATTTAACTTGGGGAAACTCAGTTCTGCTTGCACAATAAAACCAGAAAAAACTCCACTCACTGAGAATCAGGCCGCCAGTGTTTCCTAGACAAGAATCCCAACTCTGCTGCCCACGGTTATTTAGCTGCACCATCCACCTATTCTCAGAAATTCTGCATTGCGGAAGTTCCTCGCAAAGGCCATAAGGGAACCTCTCTGAGTGCTGTGAGGACTGAAGGAGAGAATCCATACGAGGTAACAAAGCATCTACCAGTGCCCTGTTTCAGTGCCTGTGCTGATCTTCACTCCCACACAAATGGGACACTTTCCACACAGAGTATGTGGGACCCTCCTTTGTCCTGTTGCTGGAAAAGGTGTCACGTGTATGTGGACTGTAGGGAAACTGAGGCAGGCGGGTCATGAAGTTCAAGGGCAAACTGGCCTATACACGGAGACCCTGCCTCAGAAAAGGGTGACATGTGAACCAATATTATTATTAACGCTGGTGAAGCCTTCACTTGATTGAGATAGGTGTCTTTGTGGTTTGAGAAGTACCAGTGTTGAGTGCTCACTGAAAGATTATCAGATATCTCTGTGGGACAGTGTTATACAGTGGTTAAAACAGTAAGTATTCAATAGGTATGTACTGAATAAACAAATATGAGCACATGAAACACCCACTGTATTCGTGGGTCTAGGCTTTCAGTCTCCACAAGCTCTCTGACTGTGGGCCTTAACCTCTCTGGAGATAGTGTTTGTTAGGCGCATTTAAATACGGTGTTGCCTATGAACCTGTGTAGTGTGCAGCAACAGTTCAACAGACAGCAACTATTGTTAATTACCATGTACCACTGAGTACCTTTATAATTTATTTTGAGTGTTCACAAACACCTTGAATCTTTCCAGTGTTAGAGAGTAAGAAACTGAGTCCAGAGAGATCAGAGGGATAGTGGGTACAGCAGTTTCAGTTCAGGCTGCAGAGATGGCTCAGAGGTTAAAAGCACTGGCTGCCCTTCCAGAGGTCGAGTTCAATTTCCAGTAATTACATGGTGGCTGACAACCATCTATAATGAGATCTGATGCCCTCTTCTGGTGTGTTCGCATACATGCTGGCAGAACACTGTATACATAATAAACAAACAAATAAGTCTTTTTCTTTTTAAGAGCTTCAAACCCAACAGCCTGTCACCAAAGCCTGTGGCTTCCCACTGTCACATGGAGAAGAAAGTCATTTTGAAAGCATTTTGCTTCTATGAGCTCTATGAGCTGTACATGTCCAGTCTTCAGACAACAGACTAACACTCATCCTAGGTCCCTATTAGCAGGAGGGACAGCTTGCAGGTTGCCCCGGTAACCTGATGGGCAAATCTGACTCACAGTGTACATATCTTACTTCAGTCTTGATCAGGCTTACAAGTCCATTTGGGAAGTAAATCACCCAGAAATAAGCTGTGTTTAGTGCTTGCCATTACTTCCCATATTTAAATCTGGAAATGTAAGTGCTATAAACAAGGCAAAATGTATTAGGGAAAGACAAAGCCTTGAAGAGGCCTCTGATCCAAGGTTTTATGAGCTAAAAATAGGCACAAGTTGTCCCTGTAGCATTAGAATTACTTTATTTCTTTAAGCCTTTAGTGTGGGAAGGATGTGGGCTGGGTTGGCCTGGAAGACTGCATATCTCTCCCGGCCACAGGACTAGAGGACATCATCACGCCATCTTGGCAGATGGAACTTAGTGCATGTCTTCTAATTAACATTTGCACAGTGCTTATTTGGGATGGGGCGTAAACAGATTTACTGAGCTCTCCTAAGATCTGCTCAATATGTCTGCATTTCCTGTTTCATTTGTAGACTGAAGATTCCTCCTGGGACTCAGCTCCATTTTTACAGTTTAGCAGGAAAACAAACTTAGTATATGGTAATAGGTAGCTTTCTGGAGATCCAGGAGACTCCAGTTGGCAGCTACCAAATGAATGATAATGTCCCAAATCCACCAAACAACTTAAGAGATATAGTTGTGTTCTGTTTGCGTGTACAGTTTGGCTATCTCTGCTTAAGCCTACTAACTTGACATTTTTGTTATATTTTCATATTTTGTTATATTTGTTAGCTGTCTCCACTTTTACTGTTTATTTTTGATGCACTGAATTTTTTGGTATTTCATTTTTACCTCCACTTTTGACTTCTTATGTCTCTTTTTTTTTGCAGATAGAAAACTAGTGTTTACTCAAAGATTAATAATAAGCATTAAGAATTTATCAGTCAGGGGCTGGAGAAGTAGCTCAGTGGTTAAGAGAACTGATTGATTGTTCAGGAGGACCCAGGTTCAATCCCCAGAACCCACTTGGCAGTGAACAACTGTCCATAACTACAAGACCTGACACCCTCACACAGATATAAATGCAGGCAAAACATGGATGCACATAAATAAAAATAAATACATTTAAGTCTTCTTCAAATAATATTATCTCTCCACAATGAGAACTATATTGTAATACTTTCCATTTCTTTCTTCCTGCCCTCTGTATGTTTGTTATCATACATTCTATTTTACACATTATAAATCTGATCGTATATTACTTTTGTATCAAGATAAAATTTTTGAGACAAGGTCTTACTATGTCATCCTGACTGGTCTGGCATTTTTTATGTATACCAGGCTAGTCTGAATCTCACAGAGATCTGCCCTCCTCTGCCTTTCAAGTGCTGCTGTGATTAAAAGTGGGTGCCACTATGCCCAGCCTACTGAGGACATCAGATTTTAGATTACCTTGAGCTAGAGTTATAGGTGGTTATAGAATTATAACCACCCAATGGGGGCTCTGGGAACTGAATCCCAGTTCTCTCTAAGAGCAATACATGCTCTGAACCACTGAACTGTTTCTCTAGCGTGGTGTGTGTGTGTGTGTGTGTGTGTGTGTGTGTGTGTGTGTGGTGTGGTGTGTGCATGCATGCATGCGTGTATATGTAGACAAAGAGACAGAAAAAAGGACTCAGTGATGCTCGTGTAGTGCTCCCATTAGCTGCAGGATTTCCTCCATGTAAATTCCTGCTGCTGGGTATGGAGATCAGGAGAGCATGCTGAATTTGATAAATCCTCAGTGCACAGAATCCTCTTCTCAGGGTACATCGACTCATATATTTGAAAACTGTCTCTTTACTCCATATTCTTGACCTTGTGGAAGAAGACTATGAATGCTTCTGTTGAAGTCCCCAAGGTCACTTCACCTGAGCGGGGGATGCCTGTTTCTGCCCTCTGTTCTCCAGCTGACTCAGAGCTCTTTTCACAGTAGCCCACATTACCCTGCACCTTTGAGGAAGCTTATTAATGCTAAGATTTACTGTTGATGTTAGTTATTTCCACTGTAGGGGATTTTATTTTTCACTCTAGGTCCTTCTGTCAAGGCACCAGCTAAAACTGTGATTGATTATGTGTACAGGAAAGTTGTGCTTCATGAAATTAGAAACAGCCCTTTTTTTTTTAATACCAGAAGCTATCATAGAGTGCTTTCACTGGCTGTTACAGTGTGTGACTTGGCAGACTCTGTTTGCACATCAGTGAGCATAGTAAGCTTTTATTCAATAAAAGCATCTGTGGATGAGAAGCTAATTGGTGAAATTAAAAATATTTTTTTTCTGAGTGGCTAAGATGGCTCCTTAATTTATGTCAATGTATTTAGTAGCAAAGGGTAATTTATATATTGTCTTTAGGAAGCGAGAACTCCCCAACAGGAATCCCTGAGGAAGACAGCATAGTTTGACTGGAGAGAAATCGCATACCATGTCACCTAGTCCAAACAATCTAACTGCAGGCTCATTTAGACTCCTTAAAAATGATTGATGCTAGGAACAGTGCTAAGGGATTACCCCAGGGCCACTTCCCTTGGTCCCACAGAAGATCTTATCCAGGTGATAAGTAGCACATGCTTTTAGATGTTCAAATCAGAAACGTGGGATCAAATAGAACTTCTCTCCACCCTTCATGTACAACACAGAAGTATGTGAATTCTGTTCTTCTCTGATGGCCCCGGAACACCTGCATAGATTTCTGTTCTCTCTCTTTTTTTTTAATGCATATAGAGTATTTTTTATTTAATTTTATATAACAAAGTCCAATTAAATGAAAACAAACATTTATACACAATATTTGGGAATTTGGGCGTCGTTCTTTCCAAACTACTTCCTGCTGGTAAGGGGCGCTGTCTTGGGGGATTCAAAGAAGATTCAGATATCCTAGCTGTAGTCTGTAGGGCTGTTTTGTCCAGCTGTTTGGAATGTAGGATCAGCTTGTACTCTGTTTCAGGCGGTCTGGTGTGATCAAACCACATTAGTCTGGAAGGAATCCACATCTTTTCATTTTCTGTGGAAACAAAAATAGAAATAATTTTCCCCAGTAACTTGTTCTTCAACTTAAATTTTGGAGTCAAAGCGGTTTTTTTTTTTTTTTTTAATTTTTTTTTTTATTATTTTACATGTCGATCCCAGTTCCCTCTCCCTCCCTCCCTCCCTCCCTCCCTTTTGCCCTCTCTACCCTCTCCCATGCACTCTAAACACCCTCCCCTCCCAACCCCCCACCACAATACAATATGTAGGGGAATACCATCCAGTTGGGGTCATGTAGATCTGACAGGTCCTGTGAAGTAGGGACTAGGGCTTCTCTCCTATCTCTAGAATAAGGCAGTTATCCCTCCATGGGGGATATGTTTGCAAAGTCCTTTTGTGCACCAGGGATACATCCTGGCTCCACTGTCTGAGGTCTCTTAGACTGCTCAGACCTTCTGGCTGAGACCCATATTCAGGGGGGTCCGAGTCAGACCCCTGTTGGCTTCCCAGCTATCAGTCTAGTGGCCCTTAGCTCCTCCTTGTTCAGGTAAGCTGTCTCTATGTACTTCTACCGCATGGTCTTGTCCTCTCCATCTGCTTCTGGGTTCTAGTTTGACTCAGTGTTTATGTATGGGTGTTTGCTCCTGTTTTCAACAGGCATTAGTTGAGGACTCCATGGAGAAGTTAGTTGTTGATCTCACTCTCCGGGAAGGGCATTTATGATAGCCTTTCCACGGAAGCTGAGATTGTTAGTTGGGAGCAGTCTTGTAGTTCCCCTCGACCTTTCTTTGTGTTCAACTTTATCTTCAAACCAATATTGGCTCCCTCTTTTATGTTCTCTCTCTCTGTCTCTGTCTCTCTCTCTCTTTCCTATTTTCCATTCCTAACCAGGCTCAATCCTCCTGGTCGCACATGCCTTCCTCTCCTCCCTCTCATTTTCTCCTACTTCTCTCTCCATTAGCTGTCCTCCCCCACTATACCTGAGGTCTGGGGGACTTGTCCCTTCCCAGTTCTGTGAGGGACTTTATATGAATCTCTTAGAATACAACTTGTATCCTAGTTCCTCTGGTGATGTGAATTATAGGCTGGTGATCATTTGATCTAGGTCTAAAATCCATATATGAGTGAGTACATACTGTGTTTCTCTTTTTGTGACTGGGTTACCTCATTCAGGATGGTTTCTTCAAGTGCCATCCATTTGCCTGCGAATTTCAAGATACCATTATTTTTTTCTGCAGAGTAGTATTCCATTGTGTAGATGTGCCACATCTTCATTAACCATTCTTCAATTGAAGGGCATCTAGGTTGCTTCCAGGTTCTTGCTATTACAAATAGTGCTGCTATGAACATAGTTGAACAGATGTCTTTGTTGCATTGATGTGAATCCTTTGGGTATATGCCTAAGAGGGGGATTGCCGGATCCTGTGGTAAACTAATTCCCATTTTCCTGAGGAACCGCCATACTGATCTCCAAAGTGGCTGTATGAGTTTGCACTCCCACCAGCAGTGGAGGAGTGTTCCACTTTCTCCACATCCTCTTTTCTGTTCTCAATACTCCAGGTTGACCTAGTCAGCCACCATGACTTGATAGACCATGCCGTAACCTGTCTGTTTCCATCCTGCCCACTCCATATCACCCAGTCCATTGTAGTAGGAGCTTGCGCCAGCTTAGCCTCGGCTAAGCTCCCTTTCATCACAACAGTGAACTTGAGTTCTATCCCACAGTTCTTCAGAGAGACTTCAGTTTGCTCCTCCCACCTGCTTCCAACTCTGCCCTCTGTTTGCTCCTCGTGTGCTCTGTTCTTTCCTTTGGGGCCCCTGTGCATAGATTTCCCTTGATGGGCAACAATTCCCTCCTCGCTCTCAAATCCACCCATGTTGTTCTTACTCATCTTAGCAATCCTGGCTTAAATGTCTATCTCCGCTCAAGTCTTACCCATCCAGCTCTGATATATACAATCACCCTGTCTATACATCAGCACTTATACCAGGGGATAACACGTGAACTGCTATTCGCTGTGTTCCCCTACTCAACTGCCTTATTTTCTAATACCCAGGATGAGTTGTAGCCAGTTCACACTAGCTCAGGAGGCAGCTGTCACACCCTCTTTCCAGTTTCATACATCACTGTACTAATTTGACATTGGTCACAGTAAAGGTACTTATATCATGAAAACCAAGAAATGCGACCGTGGATGTGGTATTAATCAGTTAATTTACATATTTGAGAAGTCAGCTGTTAAACATTTACCAGCATGCACTGACTGTGTCATTGGAATTCACATATTGTAGCTATTCCGTTAGTGTCATTTGCCACCAAGGGGCCTAGCAGCCACCTCCCCCCCCCCAGGAGGCTCTCAGCAGGTCTGAGAAACTGGGGAGAAGATGTGGATAGGCAGACTGTTAGATATATAAGCAAGTTTATCTGAGGGCCAAAACTTAATTCTTCATTTTGTTTTTCTCTCTGCTGGTTGTTTCTGTTCTGTTTCTTCATCCTGGGGTTGTTCTTCTTCTTTTCCTTCCTTTCCTTTTCGTTTCTAGTCCTTTTCTGGTGTTTTTCCTTCTATATCTTTCTTCTCTCTCATTTTTTACTTTTCCCTTTTCTTATAATTCTCTTCTCCCTTTTACACCTCCCAATGCAAAGATTTCTACTCAGAAGAAAAGGTTACCTCGCAACCATAAGTTACGTTTTCCAAGAACAAATTAAAATCTTTATATAACAAGAAATCTGTTCCAGGCTCTTGCTTTTACACCGCCACCAAGTTCCCAAAATCATGACACAAGGGACTTATTTGCAGTTATGAATGCTCAGTCTAGCTCAGGCTCGTTTCTGGCTAGCTCTTTTAACTTAAATTAATCTGTTTATCTACCTTTTGCTTTGGCGCTTTTAACCTTTCTTGCTGTATGTCTACTTGTTTGCTTCCTCCAGTATCTGGCTCACTGGTGCCGCCTGGTTCCTTGCCCCTTGTCCCTCTCTCTCTCTCCCTTGTTCCCTTCCCTCTTTTTCTCTTGAACCCAGATTTCTCCTCCTATTTACTCTTTCTTCCTGCCAGCCCCACCCATCCCCTCCTGCCTACCTATTGGCCATTCATTTTTTTTTTTATTAGATCAATCAGATGCCTCAGGCACATTTATTATGCCAATCCACTCTCAGACCAGAAAGTTCTGTAACCAGCATACAACTTCTGCTCTCCACATTCCCTTCAGATAGAGCACTGTCTTATTTACAGGAAAGGCTGGAGTGACCTGGGACTTGGGTTGGGAACTTCTTATAGTTGTCTTACTTGTTTTTGTTTTAATTTTATTCATTTTAAGGATGTGTGTGTGTGTGTGTGTGTGAGAGAGAGAGAGAGAGAGAGAGAGAGAGAGAGAGAGAGAGAGAGAGAGCACAGAGGCCAGCAAAGGGTGTCAGATGCCCTGGGACTGGAGTTACAGATGGTTGTGAACCACCATGTGGGCGCTGGGAACAGAACACTGGTCCTCTTCAAGAACAGTTAGTGTTCTTAACCACTGAGCCATTTCCTTTCAGTGAGTCCCATTGCCTACATCCCAAATAAGTCCGCTGGAATTTAAGCATGTAAGGGAGTTTTTGTTGTACTCCAGTTTTGAGACCGGTTCCCAGCATATGGCACAACTTAGTAAATATTTGTTTGATGAATGAATGGGGCTATCTAGCCAAAGGCCAGCCGGAAGCCATGGACGGCCTTCTCCTCTGGGTATTTGAGACTTTTTCCATAAAGTGAGCCATATTGGAAAAGCTGGGCATCCCTAGGAGTGACCACGCGCTTATCGTTTACTGAACTGTTGTTGTGCTAAGCATGTAACACAGTGAGCACACACAGGAGGGAACACGCTTAGGATGACAGAGCTAAGACGATGAGGCAGTGCTTCTCACATGGTCTCCAGAATGTTCCATAACTGCTTCATACTGAAGCTGGAAGGCTGTGGGAGGGGCTGTGGAGGAGCCATCATTCCAACTACTGTATAACTCCCGTTAAGATAGGAAGATGCCATGGAAATGTTGCTGGGTGTTCTTTGTTATTTTGATTTTTACTGATGGGACACTTCAGTCATCCCTTTTCTTGTTTGATGCTAGAAAATTTAGAGTTTAGGATCTACCTGCCATTCCCCGGTGGGTCTGTATATGTACCAGGCCGTGTGGTATGAACACAGCGTTTCTTTTCTCTTGATGGGCGATGTGCTCAGACTCCATGTGCTCCTATGGCACTTCTTTTTGCTGGCTTCTTTAAACTCCTTGAGGGATAAGGCAAGGTGTAGATACGTAAGCAGTCTGTTTTCCCTCCTTGTGTAGCTAACCCTTCTCATCTTCACTTAGGAAATGGAAGCTCGGTTGGAAGAAGTAAAGACAAAATCAGAAAGGGAAATAAAGCAGCTGGAAGATGAGAAAGCTGCCCTCAGTGTGAAGCTTCAGAGTTCTCTACTGGAGGTAAATCCCAAAACCGCATGGCTTGTAAATGAAGGCTGTGACCCCTGGGAGTTTCTGGCCAAATGGGATCAGAAGTTCACCACTTCTCTATGTCCTCTGAACAAAATAAAGGGCGTCCAGCCAGGCAGGAAGGCTGTCTGGGGAGGGAGCGGGGAGGGAGGGAGGCATAAATTTAGCTGCAAGTAACAAAGAGTCTGATTTATAGAGTCTTAAACAAAGAGGCCTTTAATGCCTCACATAATGGAAGGAAGCTGGAGGCCACTGCTATTGGTTCCTTAGCTAAGATAACAGGGTGATAAACCTCATATCATTCTACTCCAAGATGCATTGTCACCTTTGTGGGCCCAAGGCACTTTGTGGGCCTTCCTAGGCCCCTTCTGTTATGACAAGTATATTAAAACTGCATTGATAGATACATGTAATCCAAACTAAGGATATTCGTCTTGGGTTTTTTTTAAAAAAAAATCAAAGCACAGGTTTTTCAACAGTATTGAGAATTAGCGGAAGAGGCTGCCAACAGGATCTCAGAGCCATTTTGGAGCCTGGTTGGACCAAAAGTATAGAGAGGCCTCTTTTTCCTTGCTGTCCATCAAACCTCGAAGAGATGCATGTCTCCTAGTGCCCTCAGGGACCTATGAAGCTGGCTTCTCACCCCTACCTTGCACCGCAGCCTCTAGGGCTTTAGGAGGCAAGAGCTAACCTACTCAGCTACACACCCAACACACTTAACAACACTGAAGTGCTTCCTAGAACACAGAGACTGTGTGGGAAATAGTGTCAGTTGCTTAGAACTACATATCCAAGAGGTAGGTTTCAAGAATGCATGAGGTGACAGAGTAAAGTTTGCCATGTTTACGTCTGCGTGTGTGGTATATTATTTCTTCTGACCTGTGAGTGTTCAATCGCTGATCATAATTTTCTCTAGTTCTTTTTCCATCTCCGGAATGGCCATTAAAGAGGAAAACAAAAACAAACCAAATAACTACTGACCATGTGCTGCCTGAGGCCTGTTATTTCAGGATCTCAAGTTGGCTTTGGAAGAATCTCCGCAGGGAGTTTATGTCCTGATGCATTCTAAGGAGCTGCACAGCAAGGAGGTCTCTCTCTTCCGCCTCCCTCCCCTCCTCTGCCTTCTGTGCCTCTGTTTTTCCTTACTCCTTCAGCGCCTCCCATCTTCTCACTGTTCCTATGACTACTCTGCTCCACAGAGCTTACAGTGTGTGAGAGCAGCTAGCGCCATTAAAAAGTGGCTTACTGTCTCCTTAATCAGGGTACTAAGTTGTTTTGCATGTATTACCTTTCCACTCTTATAATACAGATGCTATTATTACCTCTAATTTGGAAATTGAGCAAGCAGAGACAGAAATGGTAACTCCACTTCCCCCCAATGCATAATTCATAAGTAGCAACCGTGAGAGTCATACTCTGGCTGGGTTGGCCCCAGTCTTCATCAGTGTGTCAGGGTTACCTGTGGTGTCAACTCCAACGGCTGAGGATCATCAGGACCTGTTGTGAGCCATGACCATGGGCAGAGCTGCAATCTGTTCTTCGGCTTCAATTCCTTTTGTCATAGGAACGGTGCCACTAACTAATCCCTTGTCACAACTGGAAATGGAAACATTCCCCTGGCCACATCCAGTTCTCCTGGCGGGTGGACTCCACACATGTGCAGTCTCCAGGGAAAGCGGCCACACGGGAAGGGGAGTTTTGGATTTTATTGAGTGGTTTTTGTTAGATGGGAGAATGGCAGAAGAGTACTTAAGGGGAAAGGTATCACTACACACAATACTGCCACTACTAATGACTGTTGTGAGCAAGATTTTTTTCAGGGGACTTCTGGTCATTAGGGTATCAGGATGTTGTGATCAAGCTGCTCCAATGAGATAAGGGTCATATGGTTTGCGAGAAGTGTAGAACATTCAGTTTCCATTTCCCTGAAAAGGCACGTTCCCGCATGGATTGTCCATCTTGGTGTCTTGGGGGACTCCATCTCCCAGATCTCTCGTTATCAGCCTCAGCCCCTTCCTAACCCCACTGTCACAGCCACCCAGGTCCAGCCATGTGGATGCTATGGCTCAAGCCTGTCCAGCTCCTCCCTGCTTTCTACACAATGTCTTGGGCAAGACTCTCAGAATTTTTCACCTCAGTAGGTTACTTAGAGGTGTTACATAACAGTTACAGGCTAGGCATTGGAACCGTGTCTGTAATGCTAGCTACTCAGAGGCTAAAGCATAGAGATTGCTTAAGACCTGGAATTTAAGAGCAACCTGGGCAATATAGTAGCACCATGGCTCTTAAAATAAAGCACAACAAGACAAAACAACAACAATAAAAAGTTGTATATTTCATAAACCTAGAAAGATCCTCTCTAAAGAGCTTCATAGAAAGCAGCAACTTTGCTGTGATACCATCTACATTCTGAAGGAGCATGGTCAGAAGTGTTCTCCATGGACCTATTCATTTTCTAACATCAGATCCTACAATAAGGGCCATCCCGTCTTCCCTAAAATCTGCAATCCCTATCTTTATTCCAGTTTTGGCTCAGCTTAACTTAGCACCATTATTCCACAGACTCCACCCGTCCTGTCTACTCTCTCAGGACACACTCACCAGACAGAACCTTACTTCAATGTCACATTCATCCCATTGTCACTGGAGATGTGGTGGTCCTTCATGGTTGCCAAACGATACAGGGGGAGGCTAGGGTCACCTGCAAAAAACATTCAAAATAGACTCAAATGGAAGCTTGAGGGCAATCTTATTAGAGTTTAAAAGAGGAAAGGCCCAGGGCAGGCAAGCTGCAAAGCACAGAAGCTGCCCAGAGGAGGAGGATGGAGGAGAGAAGGAAAACAGCCATGCCAATTAAATTGGTACAGATGTCAGATGCATGGTAGATAAGCAGCCACACAGCAGGAAAGGGAGCGTTAAAGAAAGAGTAAAGAAGGAAAAAAAAAAAAAAAAAGAAAAGAAAAGAAGAGTAAAGAAGTTGAAAATGTCAGGAAAAAAAGTACTTACAGTTTTGCCTGGCATTCATAAAAAAAGAAACCAGAAAAAGGAGCAGCTGAGCCTTTCGGATTGAGGCCTCTGATGGGCTGAAAAACCCAGCCCCAAACTGTGGTTGTTTGTAGAGACTGCACCATGGGAGAAGGTGAGTGGGAATTCTGGGAAAGAAAATACAGTGTCTCATTGAAGGAAAAATGATTCCATTTAACTCTTTGGTGTGGCTTAATGTGAGCCTGCCTTCCTAAGGTGGTCCTTGGCTAGGTAACTGACCCAACACAACTGGAATGTTGGGCCTTTACCCTAGCCAGAGAGTCTATTCTCTTGACCAGAGTTTCCCTTAATGGGTTTTTATTACTGCTTTAATATTAACTGCCGGCTCTCATTATACCTGCTAATATTGTTTCATAGAATGCCCTTTCCTACCTTCACTCCTGGAAGCCTCCTACTCATCCTTTCGTACCCTTCAAGTGGCTAGCCTCCCTTGGCCAGAACAGATTGCCTCAAGTGCAATACAATGGGAGTGTTGTGAGAACTAAAAGATTTAAAGTGGCAAAGATACTCTCTTAGTCACTTTTCTATTGCTGTGATACGACACCACGACCAATACAACTTATAAGAGAAAGTGTTTATCTGGGGCTTATAGTATCAGAGAGTTAGAGTCCATGGTGATTATGATGGAAACCGTGGCTGCAAGAAGACAGCCATGACAGAAGCGTGAGACATAGAGAATTAACTGGGAAAAGACAAACCCCACCCCACCCCCCCAGTGGCACATCCCCTCCAACAAGGCCACATCTCCTACTCCTTCCCAAACAATTCTACCAACTGGGGACCAAGGATTCAAATATATGAGCCTATAAGGGGCCATTCTCATCCAAGCCAGCACAAACACGTTCGTGTGTGACTGGCATGAATACACTGTGGTACATTGCTGTGTACATGTCTCCACCGAGTGTTGCTATGATTAGAAACCTGTGTCTCCCTCAAAATGACAGCTTAAAGACAAGCGGCCACCTTCAGTGTCTGCTAGTCTTCCCTTGCTGTGTTCCTTCCCTCCCCTTCTTGCGTCCACTGTGCTGATGACAAGTGTGAGAGCTACACAGGTTTACCAGCAGTGTCTGAGCTTCCATTGTGGCCGTTGGCTTCGGTTTCCTTCGAATCTGCGGGGGGGAGGGGGGGGGAACCAATCTGTTTAATTGACAAGTTGCAATTAGTTGGCTAATGATTTTCACCGCAGGTAAAACTTCGTAATTTAATAGTGCCTTCTAGACACTCTTCTCTCAATTAGTCTGTGCAGCAATTCAATGCTGCTTATTTTACCCACTAAACGTTTTTTTTTTTTTAAAGACATTAAGAAATCTCATACCTATGTGTCCTAGGCATGCGATAACTTTTGTCTCTTCTCGTCTTCATTAGGAAAGGAGAATTAGATAAAGCAGAGTGGCCGTCCAAGCCTTTCCCTCTTAGGGCTTTCTCTCTAGTTGTCTGGGTTATTGTACCTTCCTTCCGCCAAGTGGCTGCTTTTGCTTTCGTCCTTCCCGGTTTCCTCCTCCCTTCCTACGCTAAGTGCGTAGCTGCTTAGGTTTAGTCTGCCAGCCCTCTAAGTCATTAATGAAATTAAAAATCCCGTGAAGGGCCCCTGTTTCCTAGGTAAAATGTGCCCCCCCCCCCGGGAGGACTCCCAAAAATTCCCAGTCACCATCTTAGCAAGGCCTGCCCTAAGAAATAGTGTTAGGTCTAGTGCCTGGAGGACTGGGAGAGAAAGTGGCAGATGCCAAGGCACGTAGAAATGGGTGAACAAGGAGCCTGATGGTTAAGTTTCAGACTCTGCTGTATAGTATTCTCCCACCTGGAGTCTGAAGTTAAAAAAAATAAAAAAACCTGAACAGCAATAAAATAAGTAAAATTTAAGGTGTGGCTTTCTATGTCTCCTGATGCCAAAATAGGAATCAAGAGTTGTTCTAGTCAGGACCCTCACTGACCAGCTCCAGGGGAAT